CTAGTTTGTCAAGTTGAGAGCTCTGTGTTTTTAAACTGCTGGATTATTTTTCCAAATCTGTTTTTGCTTTTTTGCATATAGGATTTTCATTATTGCCCTTGAGATGCTAAGAACCTGAATGTTTGTGGACCCTCTTCCCCTCTATTTTTGGATAATGTATTATCATCAACTATTGTTGGAAACGTTTGTGCTCAAAAATCAGTTTCTGTTCAGGGCTTTGCTGAACGATGACTACCATATATCAGAAAATAATATGTTACTAAATACAGAAAGACCACCAAAAAAATATCACTTGACACAAGCTGAGAATTAATCAATGTGTAAAGGAAAATTGTAATGTTTAGCATGAATTTCTCCTCTTTATGTCAGTAAAATCAACATTCTAAAACTTCTAGACAAGGAGCTTTACCTCAGAGATTCACAGAATTTGTCATGGTGGACATTTGAAGTGTGTTTGCATGTATTTAACATTTGCATGCGTTTTATTTGTGGGGGCTCAGTAAAGCAAAATAAAGACACATTCAGAGAAATAGAGATATGGGGAGAGAGAACAACAACCATATGCAACTGAATGCTTTATTTTTCAAGCTGACTACACATTTTCTGCAAATGACCCTGAGCCCTGAGATTTATTTATTTTTTAAGAAAACATTTATGACCTATGGGCTATTGGCACTCAGAAGCAATATGTGTGGGAAGGAGGGTGTTTAACCTTTTTCATGTCTGTATCTTTGCCACTCCAAATTACCAGTTCCCAGTTCCTTGGCCCCTTGAGATGGGGGGATCAGGAGAAGATGCTTTGAGCACCAAAAAGGTTGAGCAGTTCCTCTCTTACCATAGCTTCTCTGCTCTGAATTCTCCTTCCTGAAGATGCTTTCTTTCCTTCTTTCCTTCCTATCTCTAGTATAACACAATGTGTAATGAACCAGTTTCCCAGAGGAGAGATCCCTGAAACAACCATATGACGGTTGGGTCGAAGGAAGCCATGTGAGCCATTTCATCCAACCATCTTCTCATTGCAGGAAATCCAGAGCTAGAGCATCCTCAGTGGCTCAATATATCTAGTTCCTTGAACTTTTCCTCATAGCACCTTCCCTTCATACTGGCAGCTATCCACATTACCCTTTTCTGAACCTGTTCCCATTTGTCTGTGGTGCTCAGAACTAGAAGTTATCCTCCTCATGACTTGGTATCTATGGTTATTTTAATGGAGCCTAAAATCACATTTGCCTTTTTTGCAGCTGCAGTGCACTGCGGACATGTCCAGCCAGATTGGGTATCTTTAGAATGCAATTAGGATGAGGATCTGTACCCTTCTGATAAGAATGAAGTAAATAACCAGAATCTCCATGATGCTGAATGGCTTCACCTTTCCTCCTCAAAACGAGAATCCTGCTTAAGTGTAGCCAAAATTCATAGCACAGCCTCCAGGATTAGCATTTGGGAAAGCAGAAAACCACTTTGGGCCTCTCCTCAAGTGAAGTCTGGGGTCCACAGCACACAGCTACAATCCCAACAGAAGGCACATGAGTTACACTGCCAGTCATGTGCAGGCAATAGACCAGCAATTCATCTCCAGGCCAAAAACATAGGCACAGACATGGTATGAAGAAATGTCAGCTAGAGTTTGACAGGAGTGCAACCTGCTTACAGCTTCTTGATTGTCACTCACAAGTTTTGCTAACTTAAATTAAGCGGGTTTTAACGGAATATGCAAAACGGGTGCAGTTTGGGGAGCTCATCATCTTGGTGTTGTTTACGTTCCCTTCCAGCACTTGAAGAACATGTGGTTCTGAGTTATAAACACTGACCAGTTTGCAGAAGGAATCTGACTGAGACCATAAACATGAATTGTAAGCACATTCATGCAGCAGGTGTTTCATAGGGTTACTTGCAGGTAAATATGCATAGGATTGTAGTTCTAATGTGCCATACAGAAACACATTATTTCCACACTCCTTGGAAAAACGACTTTGCAGAGCAGAAGCTACAGTTGTGAATATAGGTTTGTATTTGTCTTTCAGCCTACTTAACCACCAGTGGAAAGGCCTTCTTTGGTAAATAGTATCTCATGCACACTGAATACTAACCAGGGTGATATTAAACCAATGGCTGTGTAAACTTGCCAATATAGTAAATACTATTTATCGGTTCCAGGCAGGGCAAATTACTCTGACTCCACCTGCTTTGTTTGCAGAGAATCCCTGGGTGAGAAGAAGACTCTGATGAGCAATGATTACCAGGAGTAATAATCACCCCTCCAGCCTTATGATTCTTTATCACAGAAGGGAAGCCAAAGAAGGGTAGTAAATGAACACAATTACATACTGCTAGACCACTGAAGCTGATTTATTAAGATAGTTTATAAAGATTCAAGCCAATGCAGTGGGCAAGTCTTCCGGAGCTTTCTTCCACTGGCCAAGTGAAGACGAGCGCTAGAGATATTTGGTGACTCTCTTCTGGTACCCCCACCACCCTGAGGTGGCTGTGGCCAGGACTCCTGAGAAGGCAGCCCAGATTGTCATGGTGTATGAAGCTTCGTATGACCCACCGACGTCTGGCCAGCAGGGGCAGAAAAGGGTCTCCTGAGGTCCCTCTGGTCACTGAGAAGGATCCACCACCACACCAAGGCCAGGCTTTGCATGCCATTGAGGCCCAGGAGCACATCACTGAGGACTCATTTGGGCACTGGGGGCATACGCACAACAGCCAGGAATGATTCTCAATATTTAGCAAGCATTTAAATAACACTCCCTTCAAGAAGCCCTGTTGTTTATCAGACTAAAGCAAAACTAAAAATTAACCGTTACTGTGAAGCCTGAAAATATAACACATTGCCATACTCTTGTTCACGTAAGGGGGAAAAAACCTAAATTATGTAAATAAGGACACATAAATACAAAAGCGTTAGGTCTTTTAAAGAAACAAGCAAACATTCTGGAGGATTGTGCCTTATAGCATTTTCCATTCTGGGAGGGTATGGTGGTGTCTGGCTTGTATTAGATTAGGCTTTCGAATGCACTGTCCATGTCACTGATTTGTAGATCTCAGAAAATAAAATGTCTTTGTTAAATAAATGTAGTTTGAGTTAGCCAATTCATTTTCCTTTCAGGCCATTCAGCTGGGATGCTCATCCGTCTTGCATGGGCAATTGATTCTTCAAAAATAAATACTTCTTTCTACTGAAACCTGATTATTAACCCATCTCAGGATGTATCTTATCCAGGAGCTTTGTTTAAAACAACAACCACTGTGCGGTACATTTTATTTTCCATTAATTGATCTGTGGTGCCTGCTATTTTAACATGGTTTCAACATGATTCCTGCCATTAGAGGCAATAATCATGTCAAAAGTCATTAGAAATCATTACATTTCACCTAACAAATTGATTTGTTTCCATATCAACAAGCTGTCATTGGTTTTAGCTACGAAAATCTCCAGTACTGCAGCATCCAAACATGGCGCTAAATTCAGGGGAAGTTTCCACTTGTTTCAAATGCCAGGCAAAATCCCAGAAACTGGGTTTTCTCCTAAACAAGATATTGCTGGTGCCACCCATTCTCCTGAATCGCCTCCCTCCATTTGGTTTCATATTTATTTTTGGCAATTATATACCACACAGTTAGCTATGTCCTCTAGGCAGTTGACAATTTTAAACTAAATAAAATGTAAAATAAATAATTAAAATACTTTTTTATTTATTAAATTTCATACTACCTCTCCCAAGACATTGGGTGGTGTAGAGGTTTTTAATTCACCTACCTGAGATCTTTCAGCTGGAGGTAAAACAGAGAGAATGAGACCTGAATGTAAAGGATGTGCACTAGCACAGAGCAGAGTGTGGTCCAAAGGCATGTGAGCCCACCACTTTTCTGAAGCTAAGGAAGTCTGGATGTTGTTAGTGGCTGGATGGGTGACCGCCTGGGGATTGTATCTGCATCACCTTGGATTCCATGACAAATGGAAAGCAAGATATCAAAGTGAGCAAATAAATAGGAGCCCTAGCTCAAGATCATCAGTATGATGCTTTCTTTGCAAGTGGTGCTCTTCTGGTTAACAAAAACCATGCGCCTTAAATGCAAAATAGGGAATTGCTTATTTAAAAGGGAACCAGGGACTGGTTTTTTGGTCAAGGATTTTCCATGTGCACCCAAGACAATTTCTGACTAACCTTGGAGGTTCTCTGCCGCTTTCTGTCCACAAAACCATTGCTTCCTTCCAGGCAAATCTGTGGGACCATCTGAGCTAAAAAAAATTAACCTTTAGCCAGCTTCCCACACACACCTTAGACTGAAAGGGCAACCTAGAGATGGGAAGCAGCAACGATGAGAGATTCAGTCATGTACAAACATCAGCAACACAGAATACAGCTGAAAAGCTGGGTGGCGAACTTGTTATGCCAAGGATGAGAGTCTAGTTTGCAATGAATAAGGCAGACAAATGTGGCATGCTCCCTATATTACAAGCCACAGTTAGCAGCCTTTTGGGGCATTGGGTTTTCCCTTTGCTTCAGGACATCTTTCCTCAAGTAACATATCCTTGTACTGTTGTCTAGCAGTTACAGCAAAGTGCTGTGAGCATCACAGCTCCTGCACTTTCCCACTGGCCCTTCCACCAACATGAGCCACAGTTGATCAGTAACTTTTTATCACTATTAGCCCATCCAGGAAATTAAGATATCAGCTTCGAGAGCAGAGCCACCTTACACTCACTATTCTCTAAAACTATGTGAACGTCTTCATAGGACAGAAGGCTACAGTAGGTCTTTAGCCGTAAGTGTGCTGCTCCCAGCTGAAGGAAAGATAAAGGGGTGTGTGAAATCTGTTTGCATTAGTCTCATGTTATCCAGACCTGATGCTCATAAAGCTGTTTAAACAGAATCTCAGCAGCGTGAGCCGAGAATACAGCCGTGCGATTCTTCTGTGCCTCTTGGAACAGGAACATTAACCCAGTGAGTGCTCCACTCAACTAGGTCGCCTCTGCCTTCCCAACCACAGTCATGCCCTACCTCACAGTGTGCAACCGGCAGCTGAGCTGGACTCTGCCCCTGGTGCTGGGGTACCTCTTCTACCTCCTCCTGGGGGCCTTGGTGTTTCAGCTGCTGGAAAAGCAGGCAGAAGCCAAGACTCGGGACCAGTTCCAAATGGAGAAACTCAAGTTCCTGCAGAACTACACATGCTTGGATCGACAAGCCCTGGAGCAGTTTGTGCAGGTAAGGAGAGCAATCCCAAGGAACCCAACTTTATGGTCATCTTTGCATCATGTAACTTTAATGGTGGGGTGGCTGGCTGGTGTGCAGGAAATCCTGGCATAGGAATAGAGGTTGGGATTTGGGTCTTCCGCAACTTCTGATACTATGGTTCCAGAGAGGATCTGTGCCTGTAGGAACTGAAAATGGACAACAACCAGCAGAGAATGCCCAGAAGAGATAATATGATTAGGAGAAATCAGTGCTGTGGAAACACCCATGTATGCAGCAGCCATTTTGATTTGTTTGAATTTTCTCTCTGATCCCTAACCCCTTTTCAAAATTTAGCAAAGCAGCTAATATTGAGTTTGAAATTATACTACTGTTCCAGTTTCCCCTTTTCATCCCATGAATAAGGTTTACAGTGGAGTATATGTATGTGTGTTTTAATATGACCAAAAGCTTCCTTCCACAATCTGTTTTAATGAGTTTTTAAATGCACATGTGTTTCTGGTTTCCTGCATGTCTTCTCTTCAAGGCTGCACCTTCAGTGGGTGAATATTGTTGTTTCTTAACTTTCCAGTATTTTTTGAATAGGGAAATGTTATTCATTCCTCTTTCCCACTCCCCCTGCCCCACCCAGAAGTGCATTCGTTGCAGAGTGGTTGCTCTGTGGAGTGTGGCTCTGTGGCCACAAGTGTGATGTCCCTCCCTTTGAAACTTTCTGTGGACATGGAACTTGTGAACAGACCCAAATGCACATAAATCTGTACCCAAATAGGTTCTGCATTCATCATCTGAATTATTTGTTGCTGTTGCTATTACTATTGCTTTTGTTTTGTTGCTTTTTGCCACAAACACTTGACCAACTATATACCCAAATCATTTGCCCATTTCTATTCATGCAGCTTCCCTCTCCAAGAAGATTTAATGAGAAATATATTTCCTTTGTTAAGATAAAACTAAGGATGTTAAATATATGGAGTTGAGGAAACCATACAGTGCACATCCACTGACACCTGTCTTTCCAGTTCATTACTGATAGATATTGAATGAGTTCTCAAAACCAGGCAGAATAGTTCTCTAGATTTAAAGGGTTGTGTATGAAATAGTAAATGTAGATACAGTTGCTAAGGAATAATGGGAAATTTAATCCTTTGTTTAATTTTAAAATCTCAATTCTGCCATGAATTTTGAGGTCCTGTTTCTGAGAAAACAAGCTTTTATTTCACTACTTGAAATGTTTAAATGAGTTTTCTATCATTTAGCTGTGCTCCCATTTGAAACCAGTGGTTTTGCATTGGGCATAATAATGGTTATGAAGAGTACAGTATACATGCATGCCTGCAATTCTCACATGAAATCCTGACACTGAGTTTTAGGGCTCTTGTGTCACTGAAACCTGGATGCACTCCAGAGTTTGGTGGGACTAGATAAATTGGGGGGGGGGGAGGAGCTGAGCTGAAGGGATGAAAGTTATGCCAGAGGATGCTGAGCTGAGCTCCTTGGTTGTAGAACAAGAAGTGGAAGTTTTCTGGATAATAAGGGAGGACTGGAAATTGGGACTTTGGGGGAATTTCTAGGTAAAAAAAACAGAAGAAAAGTGAGAGACTTTGGGGCAATAGCTGAGAGTAGTGAAAATAGGGGAATCTGAGATTCTGGGGTGACATAACTAAGGAGGAAGAAATAGCACAGCAAGGAGAAAAAAGAGAGTAGTTCTCCCCAAGAAAGGGGGCTTCAAAGCTGAAGGTAGAAGGAGAGGGGGCTTTGGCCAGCTGATGGGCTTGAGAGAGAGAGTTGAATGCCTTATTCTTATTCTGTGAGTTTGGGGCCCATAGGGGTTGATGGAGGTCTCTTCAGTGCAGGAGCAAAAGAAAGCCTAAGAGAGAAGGTGAGTTGGGAAGGGGTCCACAAGAAATGTTCTTGTGCAGAGACAGACGAATCCTCTTGATCAGCCAGAGATTCCTAGCCACTATTATGAAAAGCATTCCCTCTTAGGCTTGAGCTGGGCTCCAGAAATTAACATAGAAACAAAGACTGTAAATCCCGCCTTCCTGACAGTGAATAGGTTTAAGAAGCTTTTGAATGGTGCCAGCTGAGAAGAGTTTGTCTAAGGAATTGCAAAATGCCTTCTGGAAAAATATTATTCTGCTGTCTATATGGAACGAGGAAAAGGGGTAACATATGTTCTGGGCTCTGCTGGCAAGATCCTCAGGCTATCAAAACTTATTGATTAGTAATTGTGTGGGGGAGCAGGTGGTGGCTAGAGGGAATGACACGTAGGGGACACTATCTTGGTTATGTACATCCAGGAGGAGTCTGATGTCCTTTTACTTTTAAATTTACACATTTCTGACAGCGAGAGCTTAGACTACTTCAGAGGGTGATGGATTCCCATTGATTGGGTTTTGTTAAACAGAGGTTGGATGGTCATCTGTCAGTGATTCTTTAGCTGTTATTACAGCATTGCAAGGGGTTGGACAGTTCTATGATTCTGTGAAATGTATTTAATGTTGTCACCCACCCTGGAACCTTGGGGTGAAGGGCAGGTAATAAATATTTACCAGATGCTCTTTGCAACTCAGCTTGCTTGGACATGTGAGCCTGGCTTTCTGTAATGCCATAATTAACACTTCCATCTGAGGTGCAGGCTATCACAGCAAAGCTGGATATGCTTAGGGGTGCTTCAGAACATACACAAATTGCTACTTTGTTTTAACGTTTTCTCTGGCACGACATTTTAAACAGAAGACCCCTGCACATTGCTGTCCAAAGGCAAACAATGCCGGTCATTTGGGGAGGGGGGAGCTGAGCATTTTCTCCTGTGTTATATAAGCAGAAGTTCAGAAAAGCCAGGGCATGTGCATAAGTGCTTTCATTAAAAGGAAACTTTTTTGATGTAGGTATGCCACAAGGATTACAGCAGTGGTTGCTATACAATCAAAACCACTAGAGGGCACTAACATTTCACAGTTAGGCACTAACACAACAGTTTTAAATATCTCTCGTCAAAATAAATCATCCACGACCTTATTCAGTAAATAGGAATCCTTATCACCACCCTTGGCTTCACACTATTGTAATCTTAGCACACTCTTTTGATGTGATGCTTCATGCTAAACCATCACTCAGCATCCTTGAGCCTGCAAGGATGAACTTCTCAGCATCTGTATCTATCTGCTGGGTTTCTCTGCTGACGCTTTTCTGATTTCTGTGGCACATGAAGCGGTTTCATAAGGTTAGGCATTTTCTTGTGCCACAGCCACTGGCAGATTTGGCTCACCCCAAACACAGCGTTGGAGTGTTTAATCATAAACAGTAGCATACGTGGGCATAGCCAAAGGGGAGCAGGGGGGCAGCTGCTTCCCCCAAATCAAGTAAATCAATAAAAAATACTTGAGTTTCTGCCCCCACCAACATAAATCTTGGCCATGCCCCTGGTAGCACAAGACCTTTAACACAGGACTAGGGAACCTGTGGCCCTCCCGATGTAGCTGGATTCTAACTCCCATCAGCCTCTGCCAGCATGGCCCATGGTGAGGGATGGTGGGAGTTCAACAACATCTGGAGGGCCACAGCCCAGCCCTGATTAAATTGGGGTGGGGTGGGGTAAGAAATTGAGCGAACCCAAAATTGACACATTTGCCCATCCCCAACTGTGGCTCTCCAGTTGCTATGAGACTCTTGCTGTGAGACCAGCCTCAGCCAGCATGGCCAATGCTCAAGTTGGATGGGAGTTGTAATGCAGCAGCTGGAAGGTCACAGGTTCCTCCTCTCTGCCTTAGAGTGAAACAGGCACAGCAGGGAGCAGTCATGTCAAGGACAATGTCTGGGACATCAGCAACCAGGTAGTTAGAACACAGCTGACACTATGTATTTAACAGGTATGTCTCCCCTTCTTTTCCCTAATACACTTTGGCCCAGAGCAGATGCCCCTTCCATTAGCCCGCTCAGATCACAGTGTTGATCACAGAGTGCAGGAGCAATGCAAAAGCATATCTATAGTCCAAACAGTTCCAGCGTTAACCAAGAAATCCTTGCCAGGAAACCATTTTATGATTTTTTTGCATATACAGAGTCACCTTATGAAGCTATGTGTGTATGTTGGTGTATCAAGAAGTGCTGCTTACTTTGGCTCATTGACCGTTGTCCTTTTCAGCCCTGCTACAAAAGCAGCTGTTGACTGACTGAACCTGTGGCCGCATAAATGTGCTTTACTCTCTGGCTGGTGAGACTCTCCCAGTTCATGATGTGACAACATTCTTCTATTCCTCCCCCTGTAAATGATCCCACTTCAGGTCATTATGGAAGCTTGGGAGAAAGGTGTCAACCCTGAAGGGAACTCCACCAACCCCAGCAACTGGGACTTCAGCAACAGCTTCTTCTTTGCTGGAACGGTGGTCACCACCGTAGGTAAGGTGAGCTGGGTGTTTTGTGGGAGGTTCCCCCCAATAAATCTTTCCTTGTTGGAGTTCTGCAAGATTTTCAGTGAAGTACTGAATCATCTGTGACTGATGGTACAAAGCGAACCTGGCAAACCTGCGTCAGAAGGGTCTTGGATGTTGAAAGATGTATTTAAAAAGCTATATATTCAACCAACGCCTATTTTTATGCGTACGTTTTCCATGACTAATTTTCTGGTCCTGTAGGATGGAGTGTGTGTGTGTAGTCAGTTTTGCATGTGTTGAAGTCTATGACGTGCATTCCAGCAGTAACTTGTGCCAATCAGAACTGGTAGGGCAGTAGCCATGGAGACCAACAGTAGGTGGAGCCACAACTGATGACGGGCAGAGCCAACTCATTCTAGTTTTGTCTCCAACCTCTTCCCTGTTGAAGGCAACACTGAAACTAAGGAAGAGGAACTGGTGAGAAGGGTCATCCCCAATAAAAAGGCAGGCAGGTGGGGTTTGGGTGAGATTGGTGGGGCCCTAATGGACTAGCAGCCACTATTGCATACTCATGGAAATCTGAAAGTGTCTGCTTTGTAAATATACAGCATAAACCAGCCAATGCTCTGTAGCAATTCTAAACTCGCTCACCAAGGAATAAGTCCCATAGAATTCAACAGAGTGTGCTTCTGAGTAGACAGCTACATGCTGCTCACTTATTCCCAACAAGATAGTGACAAATGTGCTTCAAATAAATGGGGTGCAGGGAGTCTGTAACTTCATCTGGAACTTGGGATTAGTCACCCAATATAGATGACTGTTCCTGGCTTCTTCCCCCCATGTCTGATGTGGTCAAAGCAAATGTTGAGCCCTATTAAGCGAGTGTGACTATTTTCAATTCTTTTTGCTTTTCTTTCAGGTTATGGGAATTTGGCCCCCAGCACAGTCCCAGGGCAGGTCTTCTGTGTGTTCTATGCCTTGTTTGGAGTGCCCCTTAATCTGGCATTTCTCAATCAGCTGGGGAAAGGGCTCACCATTCACCTGATCAACTTGGAGAGATGGGTCCACAAGCCAGGCCGAGCTCAGGTACAGATGCCTGTTTAACATTGTTACCCTTTCCTTGCTTTTCAAAGGTGACTTTCATGTATCATTTTAGGACAGGCAGGGGTGCCTTAGACTCATTATAACTCATACAGATGTTGCTTCCTCTCCTGTGACAGTAATTTGCTGACTCAGGACAGGGATGTACTTGAATTTCCAAAAAAAGAAGAAGAAAGCTCTAAATTGAACAGATACAGATTGCTTGATTGCAAACACCCATGGCTGCTATCAAGTCAGTTCTCCGTTCTGTATCATTTTCTCATTTACCAGAACCTATTCCTGCAAACCACTATAGAAAAAATGAGTCAGACTCCATTTCAGCAAATGCAGTTCAGGCAGTCCTATAAATGTAAAGGATCCCTCATATGAATAATAACAAATGATTCCAGATGGTCTGTGGCCCCAAGAGAAAATGTTCAAGGAAGCAGGCAAGGTTTTGTGGAAGGAGATGGGGGCAGAGTTGGATGGTGATGATGTGCAAAATGAAAGTAATATAAAAACAGGCTTGCCAGAACACAGTGACAAATGAAGATGACAGACATGACAAAAGTATTTTTTTAAAAAAAATCTTTAACAAGTGGAAACCACCTATCCCTCAAAATTTGTAGAAATTTATTTTAAAAGGAACAAACAAACTTCACCACCCAGTAAAGCTAAACTATCGAAAGGTCATCAGGATGAGTGGTCTGTTCAAGTTGAGAGAGACACTCAGTCTTTCGTGGAGAAGACAAATTGCAGGAAGGTGTAATTGCTTATGGAAGTATAAGGTGAGCTGAAGAGAAACCTTTGTTTTACTGAGAACACTGGTGCCTCAAGACAATATTGCCCCATGGAGATAGCCATCAATGTTTCCTGTCAGTAGAACTTAAGTTGCACAGTTAATTCTTGGAACAAACCAAAAAAAATCAATTGCATAAAAATGAAGGTGACCCCTTCCTGGGTAAAGTAGGCCACATTGGAAGCACCAGAAACCAAAGATTTCTCCAGGCAGACAGCAACATGTTCCTCCATCCATCCAACCAAAAGGCGTGGTCACAATTCAAGGACACATCACAGCCAGGCAAAAGCACTCAAGAGGACCTGAGGCAGGGCCAGTGAGGGGTGTGGTCTGGGGAGGTGGCATAGCCTGGGAAGCATCCTATGGGGCCTGAGATTCCCCAGCCTTGTTCTAGAAGGTTCCAGATTGCATACCAAGGGAGCAGGAGGGGCCTTCTCCATCCTATTTCCATTATCTTTTTTGCTCTGGGATGGCCGACAATACCTTGCTCTGAATACATGTCCAGCACCTGAAAGACACTGAAATGTTTGTCATACGCATTCTGCTCAGTCCATACATACTCATTTGACTGCTACATATCCTCTCTCCTTATACAACAATTTCCAGTGTGAATTAAGAGGGTCTGAGAAAATTTTGAGTAGCTGTCAGCAGGGACAACCATATCTGATCTAGTGAACACCTGATCCAGCACAAAGTGGGAACCAGGCAGGTCCTCATGATCACACTCTAGGCTTTGGAGAAGTGCACCCTCACCCTCTCTTCTCCCAAGTCTTAGATCTGGAATAAGGGCAGAGGTTTGTCCCTGACCTTGCACTGGACTTCATAGACACCCAGAAGCAAACAAGACTTCTTGCTTGTTCCTTGGACCTAACCAGAAATGAGAATTTACCTCAACCCTTGAGTCAGAGACTGGGATCAGGCGCTGTAGCAACCAGAAAATTCAGCTAAACCTCTAGGGCCAGGCAAACTTTGTAGATGCCTCCTCTGAATTACAACTGTTCACAGGGATATTCCAGAAGACAATTGTTTGCGCTCGTTCTAAACTGTGTGGCCCGTACCACACAAAGGAGCCTTTTCCTCCTGAGAAAAACAGATTTCACGTGGTGTGTGTTTTAAAAATGAGCATGTTCTATGACTCCATGACAAAGGAAAAAGACATGCAGGAAAAAAGCCATTTATAAATCATTGTTCCCAGAAATAGCAGACACCATCAACCCAACCCAAATCTCCGCCTTTGGTACTTAGGCTAGAATCACTTACATAGCAGTTTGTCACACTGGACTCAAAGGGATTTAGTCACAAGTAAAAATGTATAGGATCGCACTGTTAATCTCGCACGACATATCAAGTTTTGAAATCCTGGAAGCAGGATGAAAGACTGCAATTTCACAAAACACAAATATCAGACAGATTATTCATATTATTTCCCAGTATAGTATGCTTTCTAGATAGGAATCTTAGAGGGAAGGACATTTTTTGGTATTTTCTCAAAGCAGATTTTTCTTCCACTACTTTCTTATTTAGAAGGAACAAAAATCCTACCTGACATAATTCAGGGGAACTGCAGATTTTTAAACTGCTCTAGTTGCCTCCTAGTCCACAAACTTTGCCTCTTTTGCAGAAAATAGACTGCATATGAAAGTTCTTGTGGGTAGTTGTATCAGCAGTCCTGTCCGCTGCATTCCTAATTAACTGTTTCCTAACTCCATAAAATGTTTTCTGGGGTCAGTCTTGGGTCCCTGTTCTGCACCGCCAATTGTCTATTGCCAAGAATCTGTTCGTGCTTGTTTGTTGAATTGTCTTCATCTGTTCTTGACTCCCACTCCTCACCTTACCAGCCCCTTACCTTCTTTTTCTTTTTTAACAAGTTGCTATCTGTTATTCTTTTTAACAAGCCCTTTCCCTGTTGTTTTAATATGTGTTCAAGGTTGATCATAGGTTGCATCCAATGAAGTCGTCCCATTAGCTAAAGGACTTCTGCCTGCACAGCAGGAAGAAGAAACCAGACCAAGTCATGGTTTGATAAAGATTTATAGAATGCTAGGAGTGAGTTGTGGAGGAGGCATTAATTAATGCTAATTGATTTAACTTCTTTAGCCCTTGTGAGCTTGGAGGGGGGATACTCCTGTCTAGACATGGAAAGGGACACAAATTCTGTCTTTTCCTACTTTTTGTCTTTTTGCTGTGTAAAAGCCAGTCTCCGGAATACACGGTTAAGAGGCTAAGGACCGCCATCATTTACATCTAGGGAGGAGAGCCTCTGACCCATGGTCCAAACTTGGCCTGCCAGGCTTTCCCATTTAGTCTGAGAAGTGGTTCTGGGCAAACTACACCACCCACCCTGCACCTGACATACATATATGATGTCAGGTGTGGGGCAGGGCTTCAAAGGAACAATTGGGAGCTTAAAGTGAGTTCCCAGTTGTTCCTCTGCTGGAGCAGGGTGTTCTCCAGAGGGAGTGCATTCCAGGAGAGGAAAATGGCTTCCATTGACTGAAAGCCACTTTTCCCTTCAGTGTTGTTCCTTGAACTTCCAAAAAAATGGAGGCTCGGTGAACAGTATGGGGCTGTTTGAAAGCCCTTTTGTAAACAGTCCTATGCTCCTCTCAAAAGGGTTTTCAAACAGCCCCACACTGCTCTTTGAACTTCTGAAATATGGAGGCTCAAAGAGCAGTGTGAGGTTGTTTGAAAGCCCACTGGGAAGTGGCCCTGTGCTACTATTTGAACCTCCACTTTTAGGGAGTTTAAAGAGCAGTATGGGGCTGCTTGCAAAAGGCCTTTCAATCAACCTGCACTGTACTTTGAAGTCCTGAAAACAGAGGCTTCAAAGTACAGTGGTACCTTGGGTTAAGAACTTAATTCGTTCTGGAGGTCCGTTCTTAACCTGAAACTGTTCTTAACCTGAGGTACCACTTTAGCTAATGGGGCCTCCTCCTGCTGCTGCGCTGCCGGAGCACAATTTCTGTTCTCATCCTGAAGCAAAGTACTTAACCCGAGGTATTATTTCTGGGTTAGCGGAGTCTGTAACCTGAAGCATCTGTAACCTGAAGCGTCTGTAACCCGAGGTACCACTGTACACGGTCACCTGACATCATAGTGACAACAGATGTTTGACAGATGGGATAAGGATCTGGCCTACCAGCCAGAAAAGGTTCCCCACTTCTGATTTACATGGATCTTTGCTCTATGGAAGAGGTTTTTAGAAGCTCCACTGGGGGGGCTATAAAACGGTATGAAACTGTATGAAACAGCCTTTAGGTAGCTTATCTGAAAGCACTCAGACCAACCAGACCAAGTCATGCCAGGCAAAAGCATAGTTCTTCTAAACTGTCATTTCCCTTCTCATGTTTCTCAGGTGGTTCAGACTCTGACAATGGGATTCTTCCTGATGGTTGGGACTTTGCTTTTTCTGGTTTTCCCACCCATGATCTTCAGTTACGTGGAAGGCTGGAGTTATGGAGAAGGCTTCTACTTCACCTTCATCACCCTCAGCACCATTGGATTTGGAGACTATGTAGTAGGTAATAGAAAGGGTGGTGGTGGTGACATATTCTGCCCCTGAGATCGTCCTCCTCTCCCAATTAACTTTGATTAGGAGGAACTCTAATGAAATCCAGGAATGTGATCACAGTGCAATCAGCGCATGTAACATCTAGATTATTCATGACTTCTCTGCTGAGGCTGCAAATAAGTGCCAAAATTGATTCATTCATGCATTCATTCATTCACTAAACAGTGCTTAACCAGCTCTATTAAGAACTAAGGAGTTATACTTTCAAGGAGGAAAAGACATTGGTTTAAAATATGCTCTTGCTTAAATCACATGCACTCCAACCAACTTAAGCATCACACCAATGACAAAGTGAACTAATAGCAATGGCCATTTGCTTGTGATCAGGGCCGGCCCTACAATGAGGCAGAGTGAGGCAACTACCTCAGGTGGCAGATGCTGAGGTAGGGGGAGTGACCAGGGATGTGACTGCATCCCCTACACTAGCTTGCTGCCCTCAAGTGCTCTGGGGAAGGGCCCCATCTTGTTGTTCACTTCAGACAGCAAAATGTCTTGAGCCAGCCCTGCTTGTTTACCGTGGCCAGGAGTGAGTCTCCTCATTTATAGTGATAGGAACAGTTCCACACTAAGCAACACAGGACTGACAGAAGAGTCCTCCCTTTCCCCTTCTGTTATTGTTATTTCTCCCACTCAAAGCATTGTTAAGGTCCTCCAATCCTGAAAGGAGTAACTAGAATTAGAGGTATCTTGCTGGATCAGACCAATCAGGTCCATGTGGTACAGCATTCCATCTTCAACATCACCAGCTAGATGCTTCTGGGAAACTTATAAGCTGAGCAAGATGGTGACAACCCTACATTTACACAAGGCATATATAGATGGGGGGTTGGGGGGGATTTTGTATATACACATAGAGCCTGAAATGTGCTCAGCCAGGCTTCACAAATCATGCAAAAAAATTGCTGTTCCTTCCATGTCCGAAAAATATTGTGTGTTTGGTGCCAATCTACACAAAAACATGTTGCGAAAAACCATGTGCTGCAAAATGGCACAGTCAAGATGACTTAACACACTATTCATAACATGGGAAATGCCTATGGTGCCGTTTTGTTTTGTTTTTGTTTTGTTTTACTTTTAAACCTGTGTTCATAGACTGCTATAGGAGCTGACATTACGTGGTCTTCTTTTTGGAAACAGACATAAATGTTTGTTCCTTGTTCCTCATTCTATTTGCTTTGGAAGAAAAGGATTCCTTGAGATTGCCATTGATTTTTGCAGCAAGAAACTGCAGTGTGTTCTATTTTATTTATAGACAACAACAAAAAACACTCCATGCATAGGGAAGCTTATTTCACCCTAACTCTTTGGTTCCTCTTTTCCCCCCAAGTACCACTTCCTTCATCTCTGGTTTGCATTCATGCAGAACCAGCAACATGTGACACTTTCTTGCAGACTCATGTGCTTTTCCTAAATCAACTTACAGGACTAAGTTGAGGTCATGTGTATCCCAAATTGTTTTCTCTTGGCCTGTCAGGGGAGAGGATACAGCTCAGTGGTAGCACATATGCTTTGCTTGCAGAAGGTCCCAGTTTCAATACTCCCCCATGCCCCACCCCAGAAACTCCTGTTAGAAGAATTAGGTAGCAGATGATAAGAAAAGCACCTTTCTGCCTTACACTCTGTAGAACTATTGCCAATTAGAGCAGATAATGTTGGACTAGATCAGGGGTCAGCAAACTTTTTCAGCAGGGGGCCAGTCAACTGTCCCTGAGACCTTGTGGGGGGCCAGACTATATTTTTTTGCAGGTGGAAGAGAAAGAATTCCTATGCCCAACAAATAACCCAGAGATGCATTTTAACTAAAAGGACACACACTACTCATGTAAAAACACTCTGATTCCCGAACTATCCACGGGCCGGATTTAGAAGGCGATTGGGCCGGATCCAGCCCCCGGGCCTTAGTTTGCCTACCCATGGACTAGATGAACACAGATATTCTGGCATTTGTTGTTGTTGTTGTTTAGTCGTTTAGTCGTGTCCGACTCTTCGTGACCCCATGGACCAGAGCATGCCAGGCACTCCTGTCTTCCACTGCCTCCCGCAGTTTGGTCAAACTCATGCTGGTAGCTTCAAGAACACTATCCAACCATCTCATCCTCTGTCGTCCCCTTCTCCTTGTACCCTCCATCTTTCCCAACATCAGGGTCTTTTCCAGGGAGTCTTCTCTTCTCATGAGGTGGCCAAAGTATTGGAGCCTCAGCTTCAGGATCTGTCCTTCCAGTGAGCACTCAGGGCTGATTTCCTTAAGAATGGATAGGGTCCATTAGACAGCTAATTAGTGTATGCACCATGATTTTAAAAATCCTTCATCACACTTTAACCCACAAAGCACTGGAATTCTTGATGAATTCTAATTTGGTTGTTTCATGCTGTACTCTTCCTTTGAAGTTCCTTGGTTCCAGAATGACAACCTTAAGGTCATTTACAGGGTGTTCTGGAAATGTTCAGAATGTTCTCCGACCTGCCCCACTATTGGTGTTAATGCAATGATTTCAGCACTTATCACTAAGGGTAAAAGTTTGCCTACTTAATTTACAGTCAAGCTCTACTTATCTCTGACTGTAACTTTTTGCATCCATTGCCACTGAACTCCGATTGTATAATGTCCTCCTTTATATAGCTGCCAACTATGATTTTACTTTCATGCAGCTGATGAACTGGGCTTGAGCCGATGAAAGCTTATGCTGTTATTAAATGCGTTAGTCTTTAAAGTGCCACAGCAAGACTAATTGTTTTAGCTGCAAGCGACTAACATAGCTAGCCCTCTATAAATTTTTCCTATGTTGCTGTCATCAGAGTAGCAAAGTTCAGGGACAATGACCTGGTGGCTATGGTAAGGATAGTTTCATGTAGATCTCGTTCATGCTAACAGTAGAGCTGGTGGCAACATTGGGGATGGTAAGTAACAGTCTGGGAAAGTTGTAAACCTAGGGAAAGTAAGAATGGGCATAATCCAACAGACCACACTGTAAGGGCAGAAAAACCAAACCTATCCTAGGCATGCAACTCATAATGCGTATCCAGGAAAATATCACATCACTTCTAATCTGTGGGCAAATGCACACAGGTGGAATGCCAGTTAACAATCTTGCATGGTTTTCTACACATGTGCATATGAGTTGTGTATGTGTGCATGGTGTTCATTGTGTTGGCATATATTCCTCCCAATTGTAGAGAAACCAAATCTTACTTGTGGGTTTTCTTGGTTTTATCTTTCTTTCTAGGCACAGATCCTAATAAGCATTATATATCAGTGTACAGAAGCCTGGCAGCAATCTGGATTATTTTTGGCTTAGTCTGGCTCGCTCTGATCTTTAATCTGGGAGCTGACCTGATGGAGAAATTCCTACAGCTTAATTGGCAGAAGTCTGGCCCAGGCACTGCAGAGACAGCTGTCACCAAATTAGAGGATAACCCTGATCAACCCAGGATCCATATCCCTAGCTGAGAATGACTAATGGATAAGCAACACAAAAAACCAACAAGTCTCTTGTCCTTTCCCTTATGCCTACAAAGCGATGTTTGTGGGCAAGACATCTTGCATCAAATACTGTACATAATGAGTGGGTCACTTCATAAGGGAAAGAAGATTTTTTTGAAACAGAAGAAACCCTTTGACAATATGTACCGCAAACAGCCCAATGAAGCCTTTGGAGGAAAACGAACTGAAAGTGCCAATGCCACATGTTTTCCACACATCTGATTCCTTCCGCAAATATACAGTCTACCATTATACCACATCATCTTGTTTAATTCAATTCAGCATTTGGGCTGATGGATACCACTGTTTCCAGCAGGAGCAAACCAGCTGGCACTACCAAGGTTGCAACACACCATTTGTAGAGATTCATTTTTCCTCCAAAACTGATATCAAGAGAAACAAGGGAGAGTCATTGCTATCTGCTTCTGTGTTTTCCTTAAGCAAACTGTAATCTGAAATCTCTCAAGTGGTTCTGATCTTTGTGGATAGAACAAGATTTAGATGTTCCCAGTTCCACATGTTAAGAAAGTTTGGGACAGGTTCTGGTCTCAGGTTTCCAGACTGCCAACAGAATTTGTTCCCTCCCCTTCTTCCATTACAAGAGACAGAGAAAGGTAAACCAACTTATTTTATCCACTGCCATCGCTACAAATTTGAGGGTATTTGTAGGTTTAGGTCCTATGATCCCCAGAAATCTATACTACCAATTTAGGACTCCTTAAGCCTACAGTGGACGTCTTCTCCCCTAGTGGGAAGAGAGATCAAGTTTCTAGATGTCAAGTCATGCTAGGCCAGCCAGCATTCAATAGATTTCCTTCCTCCTGATCTTCTGGTAAGTGTGGATTGAGCTAGGTGACTACTGGATAGCAGTAATGTGTGAAAGGTTAAACTTTTGCTTAGCACATAGAAATGCCAATGGCTAAAGCGAATGAGTGGGAAATAGATTTCTACATTCAGCAGTGAACCATGAGGGCAAATAAAATGTGAAAGACATGCTTCCTCCTGTCCCTACTTCTGCTGATGGGAGAGGCAATAACCTGTGTGCTACATTCTGCATACTTCTGCCAAGTGGCTGCATGCATGTCCGCATTGATCAGCAAGACAAAACCCTGACAAAGAAAGCTATTGAATGGAGATGATCTTCTGTGTATTACCAACCCCACTGGATCATCTGGACAGATTGAGTCAACTGTCAGGAGCTCTGCAAATATCAGCCTAAACCACTGTTTCCTCATGCACCAAATGCAGTTAAGAGATATAGTAAAACTAACAGGGTAGAATTCCTTCATCTGTTTTCAAGCACCTCTCAACAACAACAGGTACTAACTGTTGAGAGTTGTTAGGTGATCCCTATTCCCTTTTTAAATGGTAGCTCTGGCAATCACTCCTTAGACTGTCAGTCAGCCTTTCCTTCCTTATAAAGCCTTGATAGAACCAGTCGAGATGGGGAAAGGTTCTGTTTGTAACTGAATGCCTGCACTTTCCTCAGGACCTTTTCCATAAGAAATGCTGATAGTAAAATTATCCCCTGAGCCTCCAAAAGGTTAGCTAGTCCAGGCATGTCCAAAGTCCGTTTCGGGGGCCTAATCAACTTCAATCCTAAAAAAAGGTTAACAACTTTGGTCGGCCCTTCACTTCATCAAATCTGGCCCTCTTTGAAAAAAGTTTGGACACCACTAGAGCCAAGACATAATCAGCAAACAGTAAAATTGAACTGCATGTGTCAGATTTTATTCTTGGAGATAACAATTGTCCTCAAAAAGTTTAGGGATATAAGGCTCACATAACCTCCAATTCCGTGCCTCAACATCAGCCATTCAGTATCATACCAGCTTCATTTGTCTGACACAAAATATAGCAAACCACACATTTTTTCCCATCTCCTGGATCATAATGTTCTAAGCACTCAGAAGATTACATGTTGCAGGGTTCAACAGTGTGTAGAATATTACTCTCCAACTGGTCATTTGTTATATATCACTTCTTTGTGGGGAAATGGCAAGCCCCTTGAAAAATCCATTCATAATCTTTCTTGAAACTGGCAAATGGATTCACCTTTACCACAAAATCTGAACTCTCTTGTTTGAGAGTGGGGGCTAGCCAATACACTTTTTATTATTTTTGGATTTTATAAAAGAGAAGCAATAAACTATACATGGTTTCCACATCAAATAAGGTAGGTATTGTGGATGTGTTTGCTGACCTGGACTTTGTCAGAAGAAAAGAAGGGGCATAAATTTAACAACAACAATGATAAATGGCAATTGATAATAGATAATACATGATGCCATACATGGGTTAAGACTTTTGAAAGGTCATCCATAATAATTCGGTGTCATCTGCAAACTTGGCTACCACACTGCTCACTCCAGACCATTTACAAACAAGTTTAATGAAAGAACTCACCTTCCCACTCTCTGCTTCTTGTTCTCTAACCTGCTACTGATCCATAAGTGATAATTGGAAGCAACGAAAAATGTATTTCAAAAATTTATAAAATACTGCTAGAATGAGAGACAAAGGATGGGATTATAAATGCAACTATGACACATTGGGCGATAGACATTGGCCATAATATAGAAATGGAAGTTTAGGAGAGGCTATGGAAATCAACACTGAACTTCTTGGCATGCTATGCCCTAAAGGGGAAAAAAAGATTTATAGGTGGTATTTAACTTCTAGTAAATTATTGAAAAGGGATCCAAATTATGTTGGAAATGCTAGAAGGTAGAGGGGACCTTCATGCATATGTGGCGGTCCTGTAAACAGGCTAAATGGTATTGGGAAATGATCTACACAGAATTCAAAAAGATGCTAAGGTTGACTTTTCAAAAAATAAAGAAAGAAAAAGAAAAAAATGAGGCTTCCCCCCCCTCTAAGCATAACTAATGTAGGGAGATATCCATAAAAAGAAATTTAGCCTCTTCCTCTATGCAACTACAGTGGTTAGGATATTATATGCTAAAAAATGGAAGGACAAAAAAACTCCAACAAAAGAAGAATGGCAATATAAGTTGATTGGATATGTGGAACTTGCAACTATGACAGCGAAGATAAGAGTCCAAGATGAGAGATAGATATGGGAAGAATGGGGATTTTTTGGAATTATTTAAAGAGATACAATAAACTAATGAATTTCCAAGTAGAATTAGAAATATGAACAGCAGTCAAAAACAGTACAGTAAATGTACAGAGTTAATCAATGAAAAAAGATAAGGGTTACAAAAAGCAGATCAATTGAAAAAAGCAAAGAATTGAAAGTCTGTTTTCCCTTGGGTTTTGCTACTGATTCTTTTGATCACAGAAAGAGCACACACACACCAGAGCCAGGAGCCTTGTTGTCTAAGGAAGGCCTCTTTCTAGACAGTAACTCTTTTATAGCCCTTCCTGACTAGGAATACACAAAAGCTAACCCAGCTGGATGAGAATCTTCACTGCCAGGAAGATGTTCCAACCTATTGTTCTAAAGATGTTTTACCAGCTTACCACATGGGGAAGCTGCATAGAGATCCCAAAGTTACTGGTTCTAGACTCTGGGGGTCCTGACACTTGTATCCGTTAATCCTGTTTTTATGTGCCTATGTCAGTAGTTAGGAACTGGGGACCTGTGCTGCCCCTTTCACCCAGATGGTCTTGCTTATGTACCACATCTGTTTCTCCCATCATCCAGGACAGGGTGCAAAGCAGAGCTGGAAAGACCCATGGATGTCCTCCTTCATTGTTTCTGGGCTGTTCAGAGGCAACAGGGTTGGTCTAGTGTTCCAGCAATCAGTGATAATTCCTTTGCACTATCAGTCTGGTTGCTGGCCACTAAAGCACATTATTCTGAATTTCAGCTGCAGCTCCTGCTTCTCTACATGGCTTCAGTTTCTGTTGCGGGTGGAAAATTTCAGGCATGTATCCCCACTTCGTGAAGCAGGGTGCATTAAAGAACCCTCTCAGAGTCACATTAGTTCAGGGTTAACCAATATGGTGCCCGCCAGGTGTTGAGAACTACAATTCCCCTGATCCCCAAGCACTAGCCATGCTGGCTGGGGCTGATGGGAGTTGAAGTCCAAAACATGCTGAGGATAATAGGTTGGCTACCCCTGCATTCGTTCATCACAAAGTTGCTGCAGGGAATGGTAATACTCTTCTAGGCATCTTTCTTCACAGCCAGTAATCCAAAGCTTCTCTTCCTAAAGTTCAGAAAAGAGCAACCAAAGTGATCAAGGAGTTGGAGCAACTCCCCTGTGTGGAAAAGTTATACCATCTGGGACTTCTTAGTTTGGAGAAAAGGCGGGTAAAGTTACAAGGCAAATGAAGCTGAATGCTGGAAAATTTAAGACAGAGAAAGAGAAAGTACTTGTTCATACAGCACATAGTTAAACTATGGAACTCATTCCTTCAAGATGTAGTTGTGTCCACCAAGTTGGCTTTAAAATAGGATTCGATCAATTCATGGAGAATAAGGCTATCGGTGGCAAACTAGCCACAATGGCTATGTTCTATTGTCACTATTGGAAGGCAGCAAGCCTCTGATTACCAGGAATCTGGTTGGCCACTGGGAACTGGATGCTGGACCCGATAGGTGTTTGATCCAGCAGAGCACTTCTGACGTTCATTTTAAACAGGGCAGGAAGGAAATGAATGTCTTCTACTGAAAGTAGGGAAGTTAGTTGACATGTTTGTGCTGGACTCCTTTGAAATTCCCTAGGCATGATGGGTATTTTCCTGTTTCCTAAGGCAGCCTTCTGCCCTACTTTATAGAGAGTCCCCTGTTTGTAGTGCTGTCCTGTCCGAGTCCAGTTTAAAGAAAAGGAATCAAAATAAGGAAAAGCAGGGACCCTCCACTCCAAAGTACAGCTCACATTGACAGTGTGGCTTCTGGTACTAGCTAACGACTTGCCTTTTTGCCCAGGCCTTGGGATAGGGCTTGATGTTATGCGGTCAGCTGTAAACTTGGTGAAGTAGTGGCAGGACTGTAG